AAAGGGTGTGTGTTTGTGTGTGTTCTTGTTTACTTGAGTGTGTCAGCAGCAATGAGGGGGCCCAACGTGGGACTGTGCTTCCTTCAGGACCTTGAGGTTCCTGGCTGGGCTCACTTTCTCCAAGGCTCTGTTCACGACTCAGCTTTTCTGGCCCAAGCTTAGAACAGGAAGATGAGGCTACTGGGCCATGGCTAGGAGAATGGTTTCCAGCTCTGCCACTGGTGTTGAGAGAAAGTGAGCTCCCATCCATCATCCCCAGCCACATTCCCACAACTATATGTTCATCTCCTGCCTGCACAGAACAGCAGCCTAAAAACCTTGCCTTTGCATGGTACTTTTACTCTGATGTTTTCAAAGCCTATTTACATCAACTGTCATCTTCCATTCTTACAACAGCCCCTCGAGAGATGCAGACAGCTAATTCTTTCAGTTATAGATAAGGAATTGGGTCCTAGAGAAGCTATGTGACTTGGGTCACACAGCAAGTTAGCAACAAAGCCCCAGGGAACCCTTCTCTGGCCTCCTGACTCCAAGTTCTTTCCTGTCTTCAGCTCTGGTTCGCCATTCCCTCATCTCCTTCACCTCCTGTCTTCTGAAAGGAAATCTCCACAGAGAGGCTCACACACCATTAACAACATACACATCAATTCTCCTGGTGCTGGGTAAACAGCAACTCCAGACAGGCACCCTCCTCACCTCCTTCCTCCCTCCCTGTTCACCCCACCTTAGCAACAAGGAGGAAACTCATGTCAATATAGCTCTTTCTGAAAATGTTGGGGCCCATGCCAGGAAGCTTTCCTGAGAGGTCAATCAGTGCCATTTGTGCTTCCTGGGGGAAAGGAAGAGACAGTGGTGGCCTGAGTCTTCAAAAATTGGCCTGTGATGCCTGGAGCAGGACTGAAGACTGGGCAATGTGTTTCGAGTTTCCCCTTGTCTCAACTCTCAAACTGGGAACCTAATGGTCACTGGGTGGCCATTTCTTTGAGAGTTATAAGTCATCTAGTCTGGCTTTACCCTCCATCTGAAACTTTGTTTTACCTGGCTTTAGGGTGAGTCATTTATTGATTCATTCATTGATTCAGCAAATACTTGTTGACTACTGACCACATGCCAGCCTTTGCTCTAGGTGGTGGGGATACCACCATGAACATGACAGGCAAGACTGCCATCAGCCTGGAGAAGGACACAGTTTGTTGGCATACTGTTATCTGGGGGTGGAGTGGGGTGAGGTCGGGATAGAGAAGTAATGGGAACTTGGAAAAGAAGGATAGCTAGGAAGGCCTCCCAGGGAAGACACACATCTAAGCTAAGGCTGGAAAGAGGAGCGGAGCATTAATTCACCCAAGAGAAGAGTGTTCTAGGCACAAAGAATAGCGTGCATGAAGGCCCAGAGGCTAGAGAGCACTTGGTACATGTAAGAAACTGAGTGAAATGTGTGGGGCTGGAGCATAGTGTACAAGGGGCAGGCAGAGGGAGGAGGCGGTGAAAGATAAGGCTGGAGGTGGAGGTTGGGTCTGAGTCATGAAGGGCTTGAAAACTGTTTTGAGTAGAATGAACTTTATCCTAAATATAATGATAAGCCACTGAAAGGTTTTATGAAGATGTGTGGCAGATTCAGATATGTGTTTTATAAAGATCCTTTTTGCTTTTATGGGCAGCAGTGCCATTCAATAGAGATATAATGAGAGCCACAAACATAAGTCATATGTGTAATTTGAAATTTTCTAGTAGCCACATTAAAAATGTAGAGACTTCCAGACAAGATGGTGGCAAAGGCAGACATGGCTCACCTCTTGGTACAACCACAACAAAATTACAACTAAAATAACAACCTCACTCAGAACAGACAGAAATTGAGTTGAATGGAAGCCTGACAACTATGGAATCAAAGAAACCCCATCCATCCAGAATGGAAGGAGGGGCGCAGAGGCAGAATGGGCTGGTCCCTAACCCACGTGCGGTGGATAAAAATTTGGGAGGGATATCTCGGGAGAAAGGAGTCCCAGCCCCATACCAGGCCCCCCAACCCAGGGTTGCAGTGCCAGGAAGATAAGTCTCCACAACTTCTGGCTTCAAAAACCATCAGGGAATGAGTCAGTGGAAGAAATGGCTGGAAGGGACCTACAGCCAAGATTGCTGTATCCAGCAAAACTATCATTTAGAATCCATGGGCAGATAAAGAGCTTCCCAGACAAGAAAAAACTAAAGGAGTTCATCATCACCAAACCATTATTATATGAAATGTTAAAGGAACTTATTTAAGAAAAGAAAAGATCAAAACATGAACAATAAAATGGTAAAAACACATATCTATCAATAATTGAATCTAAAAAATAAACTAAGCAAACAAGAAGAACAGAGACAGAATCATGGATACAGAGAGCACTTTGATAGTTGCCAGATGGAAGGAGGGTGTAAGGGAATGGGTTAAACCGTAAAGGGATTAAGAAGTACAAATAGGTAGTCACCGAATAGCCATAGGAATGTAAAGTATGGTACAGGAAATGGAGTAGCCACGGAACTTATACGCATGACCCATGGACATGAAATAACGGTGGGAGGATTGCCTGAGGGACTAGGGGATGCTGGGTAGAGGGGGGGAAATCAGGACAACTGTAATAGCATAATCAATAAAATATAATTTTGAAAATGTAGAAAGAAACAGATGAAATTAACTTTAAATAATATATTTTATTGAATTCAATATTTCAAAAACATTATTTTTGCTCATGGTAATCACAGCCCTCATTGTAGTTTAACCTGTGCCAAAGTTGGTTGTGTACATGTGTGTCTCCCCAAATAGACTGTGGCCCTAAGAAAGTCTGTGGCTGATTCTGGCTACTCATCCTTGCCCCCTTGGTGTCTTCTTCACAGATTGTTAATGGTTAAGAAGTGTTTATGGATTTAATGGAATAGTTGTTCCTCACAGCCCCCAACTAATAGTGTGGTCTCTATTTTCTTTGTCATATCACTCCGAGTCATGGGGATGAGGGAGGTACTAAAATAAAACCCTATTTAGAGTGAAATAGACACGCAGTTGAGTTAGAATCCAGCTGCTCAAAGAAATAGTCCCAGTCTGAGCTTCCCCTGACCCAAGCAGCTTATACCACTCTATTAACAGAAAAGCAATAAAAAAATTAATAAAATTAAAAGTTGGTTCTTTGAAGAGATGAACAAAATTGACATATCTTCAGCTAAACAAACAAACAAAAAAAGACACATACTATTAAAATGAGGAATGAAATAAGGGCCATTACTACAGACCTTAAGAAATAAAAAGGACTACGAAAGAATAGTATGAACAAGTATATTATTTAATGCTATCAAATCAGATAAACATGGACAAAACATGTTATTAGACACAAAACTACTTCAAGAAACAGGTACTCTTAATAGACCTAAAAGAAGTAAAGAGATTGTGTTAATATTTTAAAAACTTCCCGCAAAGACAATTCTAGGCCCAAATGTCTTCACTAGTGAATTCTACCAAATATTTAAAGAATTAATACCAATATTTCACACTCTTCCAAAAAAAAACCAAAACAGAATAGGAGGGAACACTTTCAACTCATTCCATGAGTCCAGTATTCCCCAGATACCAAAATCAAACAAAGACATCACAAGAAAAATGTGTATCAACGTCACTTATCAATACAGATGCAAAATCTTCAGCAAAATACTAGCAAAATGAACCCAGCAATGTATAAAAAGACTGGGATTTATCACAGGAATGCAAGAATGGTTTAATATTTGAAAACTAATATCATATACCACATTAATACAATAATGGACCAAAATCATACCATCATCTCAATAAATGCAGAACAAGTATTTGAAAAAATTCAATACCTTTTCATTATAACACTAAAAAAAATAGGAACAGAAGTGCATTTTTTCAACTCGATAAAGAGCATCTACAAAACCTCCACATCTAACATTAGACACTTAGTGGTGAAAGACTGAAAGCTTTCCCCATAAGATCAAGAGCAAGATAAGGATGTCTGCTCTCATCAGGTCTATTCAACACATACTTAAGGTTCCAGCCAGGACAATTAGGCAAGAAAAAGGAATAAAAGGCACCCTGATAAGACAGGAAGAAATGAAACTCTCTCTATTCATATATAATATGATCTTGTATATAGAAAATTCTAAACAGCATACACACACATAATTAAGGATTAATTAGTGAGATCAGCAAGATTGCAGTATACAAACTACAATATACAAAAATTAATTCTATCTTTATACACTAGCAATGAACAATCTGAATATGAAACTAAGAAAAATAATTCAATTTCTAACATCAAAAATGAAATATTTAGGAATATATTTACCAAAAGAATGATATGTACACAGAAAATTATAATACATTATTGAAAGAAATTAAAGAAGACCTAAATAAAAGGGAAGAAATCCTCTGTTCATAGATCAGAACACTAGTTTTAAGATAGGATTACTTCTCAAATTGTCTATGATTCAACATGATCTCCATCAAAATACCAGCTGACTTTTTAAATAAAAATTGGTAAGCTGGTCCTCAAAGTCACATGGAAATGCAAGGGACTAAGATTAGACAAAGAATCCTGAAAGACGGGAGCAAAGCTATAGGACTTCCAGATCTCACAACTTACTACTAAGCTATGATGAGCGTGTGGTACTAGCTAAGAATATATAGATCAATGGAACAGAATCAGGAGTCCAGAAATAAACTCCTATATTTATGGTCAACTGCTTTTTGATAAGGATGCCAAGACAATTTAGTGGTGAAAGAATAGTCTTTTCAAATAAAGATGTGGGACAATTGAATATACACATGCAAAACAATGAAGTTAGATTCCACTTCACACTATACATAAAAATTACCTCAAAATAGATCATTTAGCAGGAGCTAAAACTCTTGGAAGAAAACATAGGAGTGTGATCCTGGGTTAGGCAGTGATTTGTTGGATATGACATTAAAAGCACAAGGGACAAAAAGAAAAATAGATCTGTATACTTACCTGGTAGAGGAGATACCACGATCATGAATGTGGTTGCATTCATGGTGTGCTGGCCCCTGAGATTTCCCCAAATGTGGGAAACTTGACTGCATAATTTGTGGTATTGGGGGGCTGTGTTCATGCTCTTCCCCTAAATGAAAAAGGAAAAGAAAAATTAAAAACTTTGTGCTTCAAAGTTTCACCATCAAGAAAGGGAAATACAATCTGCAGAATGGAAAAAATTATTTGTAAACTATATCACTAATGAGGGTCTAGTATCCAGAATATACAAAGAACTCTTACAACTCAATAATAAAGTGACAATAACCTAATTTAAAAATGAACAAAGGATCTGAATATTTCTCAAAAGAAAATACACAAGTTGCCGAAAAACACATGAAAAGCTGCTGAACATCATTAACCACCAAGAAAATGCAAATCAAAACCAAAACAAGATTTCCTTTGACATGAACTAGGATGGCTATAACCAGAAAGACAGATAACAACAGTTGTTGGTGAGAATGTGATATATTCTCACCTCATACACTGCTGGTGGCTATATAAAAAATAATAGCTGCTTTGGAAACCAGTCTGACCCTTCCTCAAGAGGTTAAGCACAGTGTTACCCATCAATTCCACACCTTGGTGTACACTGTATATCCAGGCGAATTGAAAGCATATATCCACACAAAAACTTGTACATCAATATTTCTAGAGACGTTATTCATAGTAGCTAAAAAGTGGAAACAACCAAGTGATTAATGATAAACACAAAAGTGTATGCTCACAAAATAGAATATTAACCGTAGCCATAAAAAGGAATGAAGTACAGATTAATGGATAATATAGGTGAACCTTGAAAAAATTATATTAAGTGAAATAAGAGAGACACAACAGGCCATATATTTTATAATTTAATTCATACAAAATATCCAGCACAGGCAAATCCATGGAGACAGAAAGCACATTACTGGAGATGAGGGGGAAATAGGAGAGTGACTGACAGTGAGTATGGGGTTTCTTTTTGGGGTGAGGAAAATGTTTTAAAATTAGATAGTGGTGCTGATTGCAAAGCTCTGTGAATATTCTAAAAGCCACTGAAGTGTGCACTTTAAAAAGGTGAATTTTATGGTATGTGAACTATCTCTCAATAAAGCTGTTATATATATAAAAATAGAATTACCTTATTATGTGAAATGTAAGGGCGGCCTCCATTTCCCAGTGAAAAGATTTTTTTTTAAAAAAGGTTTTTGACAACTGGAAGATATTGCAACATGCCTGAGAAGACAAAGTTTTCCTCCAAAGTTGTGCTAAAGGGGAAGGCAAAGATGTGTAGACCTCGTTTTTGGGGTCTCACCATTCCCCACCTTGCTCTAAGAAGCTGAGAGTGAGAACACAGTGCATGATTTTATGACAGTGGAGACAAGGATCTCACACGCAGATAGCCTTGCCTCCCACTCCTGAGGCTCTCCCAGAGCAATGGATGGTTTCTGCCTGCCCAGTGCCCATTCTCTTGCTTCTTGTTAATTGCATGTTGATTTTCCTCCCATCAACTATTTCCCTCCTCAACCTCAGAAGGCCTGTCAGTCAGGATGCCCTTGACTTCCATTACCAAAATCTAGACTTGTGACTTAATTTGTCCAATCAGATGCCCTTCTTTGGGAATCTGAATCAAGAGTGGGGTGGTGACTCAAGGAAAACGCCAGTGACCTGCCCCACTGGAATGCCCGAAGGAAACTGCTCCATAGTTCCCATGCTCTGGAGTCAGGGGTTGCTTCTCTGGTCCTGGTTTTCCCTTCAGACACTTCTTACATCCAAGAATCCTAACTTGACCTTTTGGATGTTCAAAGGCTGACAAATTCCATATCATTGTCATGGTTCTCGTATGGCAGCGTAGGGCTCCTCAGGATTGTCCAGGCAATGAAGGAGGAAGACCCCTAAATTATGAGAAGTCATGACCAAGAAACCACTCTTATACTTCCATTGGAGCATCTTCTCTTTGGTTCCTTATTGGTGATGATTTGCTTCAGTATTTTAATGAAAGCTCTAAATATTCATTGACTCTTAACTATGTCAAGGTACTTTCTTAGTATAAGGGAGTACAAAGATGAACAAAATGATATCCCAGTTTTGGAGGGTGGTGTGGGAGTGTAGAGAAATGCTCTCTGACTTCTGAATTTATTAGGTCAGAAAACAGAGGGCATTTAATCTCGGCTAGAGGTAGAGAAATTTCCCTGACCCATGGGAAAGGTATCATTCATGATAGGATATTGAAATCGGAGAATCATAGACTTTGGGGCTGACAGGGATCTTATAGATTATCCGGTCCTACATTTTTCAGATAAAGAAATCTAGATTTTGAGAGGTGAAATGACTAGAGTCACATTGGGTTTAGGATTTCTCCTCTGACTCCCAAGTCCATTGTTTATCTCACTAGCTCCCAGTCACATGGTTAACCTTGACTGACTCTTCCAGGTTTCAGGGAACTTGGGGGAAAAGGGCAATATTTGGGGCTTGGTAAATGGTTGCCTAGGGAAGTATGTCCTTTAAGGCCACCCAAAAAATCAGCAAGGAAATGGGGCAGGTTCCATGTTGCTTTCTTCCTTAGGTTTTCCGATTGAGAACTTGGCAGAGGAGAGTGGCACCAGGGTTTGCGCTGCAATGGGAGTATCAGCATGTGTGTTCCCACTCTTTTCCATCATCCTGGAGTCCTTGATGCAAGTAATGGCTAAAGGGCTTGCTGAAATGACCTCTGTCACTGGATGGCCTTTCTTCTCTGGGTGACCCAGTCAGCTGGGGTGGGAGAGCCCTTGATTGTCTTTACCTGTGAGGTGTCAATTTACCCAACAGAGAGTGTGAGGTGGAAATCAATTTAGAAATCAGGCCTGTACTTTCCCCACAGTTAACAATAATTTACCTTGCCTAGCAACTTGGCTCTACGCAGTAAGGGCCCATTGTAAATAGCATTCATTGGTTATCCTATAGAAACAGGAGAGCCTGGCCATGGTTCTTTGGGTGGAGGAAGAGACAGACTGTCCTTCCAGGCTGTATTTTTCAGCCATCAATGAGCACAACCAGTTTGACCAATACTTACAGAGAACATCTCATGTTCCAAGAACTGTGCTGGGTTCTGCAGCCCACACATAATCCCTGACCACAAGGAACTATAGACAAGCATAAGACTGACAAGTTTAATAGAACGTTGTCAGTGATAAGCCCTGGACGGACCAAAGCAAAGAAGAGGAAGATACATCCCACCTGGGATTCAGAAAAGGCATTGTAGAGAACACTCACAGGAATTAGTCAAGAAAGAAAGCCACAACTCACAGGCAACAAAACCACATGGACAAAGGTGTGGAATCTGGGTGTAGAGAAAACCACAGGCAGTTAATGACATTGCTAGAGATTTAAGAGGGAGATGGGAAGTGTGGGGAGATAAGGCAGAGAGAGGGGGGTGAGAGAGAGAGAGAGAGAGAGAGAGAAGCATGGTCTTTTTTCTACCTGGGGGATGCCGGGGAGGTTTGCATTTTACATAGATCACTGCAGTGTGGATTTGGGGAGGAGGTACCAAGAATGGAGGAAAGGGAACCAACTGGAAGAGCTGATGAGTGTCTGATGCAGGGTATTCATAATGAGAATGAGTCACTTACAACGAAAGGAGGCATGAAGTGGAGATATATCCTGGAGGTGAGTAGTGATGGAGATTATGGTTGGTCAGGAAGAAACACACATCTAGGGGGTTCTCAGGTTCCTGACTTGATGCCTGGGTGGAAAATGGGGCCATGAACTGAGGTAAGAAATACAGGGAAGGAAAATGAGCCTGGAAGAGAGATGTCGATGATGGCTAACATTTATTAATCACTTTTAAGGACCAGGCATTGTGCCAAGAGTTTTTCATGCATTCTCTCATAACTCTATGAGGTAGATACTATTATTCTCGATTTAGAGATGGGAAAATGAAACTGTGAGATGTTGAATAGCTTGGCCCGATCTGCACAATTGGAAGAGTGGTGGAATGTAGGCATTCCGGCTCCAGGGCCAATGCTCTTAACAACCAGGGTTTACATGTGCATATGCGAAGAGTCTGAAGAGCCTGTGGAATACTCACAGTGGAGAGGTCTGGGACTTAGTGGGTTATCAGGGCCCAGATCATGGTAAAAACCATACATGTGGATGAAACTACTCAAGTTGAACAGTGACTGAAACCCTGGGAAACCCCTAATTTAAAGAAGTAGCCAGAAGGTAAGGGGCCCACAGATGAGACAAAAACAAAAATCCCCTCTGATTTTCAAGTCTGAAGACATGGCTCTGCTATCCGGGCAACAGAAAACTGGGCAATCACAAAGGTGTAGTGGCATCACATAAAAATGTGACCAAATTCAGCTGACATTAATTACAGTCGTTACTATGTTGCACAGTTAATTATTGTAAACAGTAAGCATTTTACATAAATGGCAGTAATTAGTATAGCACAAGTTTCCCAGACTGTGTCCTGTGGAATAGCAGTAGTTCTTGAAGATGTTAACAAATGTTTGGATAAAAAAGGGCTTTGGAGTCAGGTAAGTTTAGGAAATGCTGTTATGCATTTAGTTAGATAGAGGTATGATTTAAATCAAACCAGGGTATGATTTAGTTAGATAGAGCGCTAAACCCTTGGTTTACAATTTTTTCTCTTAGGAGCTAGAAGAGTGGAATGGTTGAGTGCAGATAAGCTGGGGTTGAATCCTGCCACTGATAAACTGGGTAATCTGGGGCAAGTTCGTGAACTTCTCTATAGAAGGAAATAGTAATATACTCACCATTATTCTTCCAGAGATTGAATGCAATAATGTATGCATTTAAAAGACTTAGAATAGAGCCTGGCACAGAGTGAGGGCTCTATAAAAATTAACTCTTAACTGTAAACCACATTGTTATTGACAAATCTTCCTGATATTCTAGAACTTAGTCTTTGTCACACACTTCACACACACGGATTGCCATCCATATTTCTTAAAAGTCAAAAGTCTTGGTTCTGACCCCTGTTAGTTAAAGCTCTCTGTGCCTCTACCACCACCCCACCACAGCCCAGGACTGGGAATGACCAAACTCTTGCCCAACTCTAAACTAGGGAAGGGGGCCAGAGAGAGGGAGGATTTCTACCCTGGCTACATGGCCTTGCAAGGGCCACTGCTAGTTCATAATCACCCTCATGCCTACTTGAAAAAGGTATGCATCTTTTGGGTGCATGCTGGCCTGTACCAGGCACACAGCTTAGCAAGTGGAGTGCAGGATCTATTTTAGCCCCCATGTATTTCTTAGGCTGAATGTCACTGTATAATGAACAACCAGCACAACCATAGACAGCGGTTCTAACCCTTAGACCACAGAAGAGGCTGGAAGCTAATGATCTTTGGGGAAAGAGGGTAGGAGTTCTCCTCCCATTAGTCCGTGAGATTAACTCCCCACAAACCCTAAGTGGATAAAGCATTCTCCTTCTCCTCCCTCCCTCCCCACATATGCCCCATACCCCATTCATTCACACAGAGGCTGACATCAGAATACCTTTGGTGTTAGGGGATACCTCAGGCCTTGCCCATTTCTCTGAAATCCAGATTGAGTTTGGCAGATGACAGAGCTATGGAAAGCAGAAGTGGGAGGGGACGATTTTCCATGTTTGCCCTGACACATAATGAACACTAAATAAATATGTTCCAAATCATAGCAGGCCAGGGCCAAAGCAAGTCTGACTTCCTGACTGGTTTGGGGCAGTGAAGGGAAAATGATGGGAATGGAAGCTTCTTAACCCTCACTGTGCTTGCCTCCGAATAAAGACTCACCACTTTTTTAGGTAGATACTTCCTTTATGAAACAAAGGGGAAGAAAAAAGCAGGCTTTCCTGTTCTTCTCTAGAGGTAGGTGGGGTGGAGTGTAGGGCAGGCACTTTCCCAATGTGCCCATGCATTTACACACACTCCCACGAACAGCCTCTTCAGCTACCAGAGGGGCTCCTGCCAAGAAACACCACTTTCCAGCCTAGAATTCACATCCAGGACTGACCTGTGGTGCCCTGCCAAGAGATCACCCTTCTCTGTACCTTGGTTCTCTCCTTCATAAGGTGAGGAATATGGAGGGGGTGAATTTTAAAGTCTCTCTCAGCTCTTACTTGCTCCGGTTCCTACCCCTAAGGGGTTCTACTCACTCCCCCTCGGGTCCTGTCTAAGCAGGCAGGTGGGGATTCTTACAGGGGCCTGTGTACCCCAAAGACAAGTCTCCCTCCTCACAGTTGTACTTAGGGTCTGCCTCCTTTGCTCTTGAAGATAAACAGCAGCTGCGGCCCGGGCTGCGAGTTTAGGTGCCGTGGCCTTAAGACTCAGGAACAAAGGCTGAGCTGGACAGGAAAGGGACCTTCCCTCAATGTGAGGTGATGGGAGCCCTGGGGCTGTTTATTATGACATTACCTCTCCGTAGGGCTGGCTGTTCTTCTTCCCACGGATTTGAGGGGAGGAAAGGGGTCCTCTCTTTTCCTCTGATGTTGTTGACTTCACCCCTCGCCCCTTTCTCTCCCTAAGGTTAGGATCTCCTACCTCTTCCCCAGCAAGCTCCCTGGGTCTGAAATCTCCGACACCCTGTCTTTATTCTTCTTGGGATTGAGGTCTTTAGCCGAGGGGTTCCCTCTCATTGAGCCTCGCCTCATTATTCCTTTTTAGGCCTGGGCTCTCCTGCCTGGGTAAAGGGGTCTGGATTCCTCTTTTTTCTCTTAAGGCCAGACCGCCCTCCCCCACCCTTTCCAGCTCCCCCCTCCTCACTCCCTCCCGCCGCCCCGAGGCATTGTGGGAGGAAACAAGATGTGGGGCGAGAGCGGCGCGGGGAGAAGCCCGCAGTGCGGGGCCTGGCGGGCGCAGCCAATGGGGAGCGCGGACGGCGGCGCGCGCGGCGGGGGGGGCGGGGGCGGGGCGCTATTTCAGTGGGGGCCGCGCGTTAGTCGCCCTCAGCGGCGAAGCAGATCGGAGCAGTGAGGCGTCTGCGTAGAGCAGGCAGGTGGGCCGGCGGGAGCGAGGAGGCGTGAGGGCAACCGAGGAAGCTCGAAGAGCAGACGGCGGCGGCGGCGAGCGCTCGGCCCGGTGCTGCGGGAGCCGGAGACCGCGGCGGCCGGCGGCTGCTGCAGGAGTAGCCGAGGGGACACCGCCCCTGCCCGCGCCCTGCCTGAGGCCATCGCTGCTCCCCCGGGGCCTCACGCGGACTTCCCGGAGTGAAGGTAAGCGGTGGGTGAGGGCGCCTCCGGGGCGCGGGCCCGCCCCGGTTGAGTGGGGCCCCACGCGCGGTGCCCCTGAGGTCCTCTCTCCCCACGCGGGGCCCGGAGAAGGGCTGGCTTCGGCGTGACGCCCCCGGCGGCCCTCCTTTCTGGAGCTGCGCCACCTTGTGCCCTCGCGACCCTCGGGGCGCGCCTGGAGGCTCAAGGTGCGGAGTTATGGCTCTCGTCTCCCCCGGGAGTCTCCCTGCGCTGCGTGGAGGCTTCTAGTGTTTGGGGCCGAGGGGGTGGGGTGGAGAGGGCTCGGGCGTGACGCGGCTCCCCCTGCCGTCGCCGCCACCACCACCACCACCGCCACCCTCTGGGGCGTCCTTCCTGCGGCGAGGACGCCCAGTCACTCCGACGCTGCTCCAGGCCGGGCGGGGGAGGGCGGCTGACCGGCCCGCGCGGAGGCGGAGGCGGGGAGGCGGGTGCGTTCTCATTCACCAGGTGCTGGCCTTCTGAGGGATGGGATGGTGGAGGGATATTATTTTTTGGTCGCAACACCGAGGATGGAGGTTGGGGTCTGGATGGCCTCTTAGCTTTCCTAAGGAGCTCGTGGCTCGTGACTGAGGCAGCTGGCCAGGGGCCCTTTGGTCATCCTGTAGGTAGGCCCAGGTCCCTTGCTTTTTTTCCCAGGAGGGAGGGGCTAGGTTGGGCACCTCCCTATGCTTTTCTCACTGGCACCTTGGACTGGGGAGGTTGGGGCTAGACCTCACCTCTGAGACGCCTGGGGGGCCGAGGGTGAAGAATCGTGGCATTGTAGTCACAAGACCAACGTTATGTAACTGCAGGGCTCTCTCCAGGAGAGTAAGGTGGCTTTTAATTACTGTGATAAAGTTGTTCTTTGCACTTTGGGGATGAGGCAGTGCAGCTAAATGAGCTCGCTGGGAAAGGGTGCTAATTTCTGTAACCTGGCCCCACCCCCACCCGAGGTTTATAAACAGTGTCCCCTTCTGAGTGGTGAGCTGGAATGGAACACGAGTGACACTAGTTTTCTTCACGGGTAAAGAGCTTTTAATATCAGCACATTCTCCCTGCGGTGCTCAGGTACTATTGTTTAAACTCACAGAAGTTGCCTAATTTATTTTAAAAATCATGGGTTTTCAAAAATACTTGGTTTTCCCAAGGTCATGTAGGTAGTCAGGCCTTGGACAGGGTTCCCCGGACCTTTTCCTCAGCACCAGGCAGTGCTCGCAGCCTCCCTCATGCTCTCTGACTTTTGCTCTCAGGATGTGGGGGCAGAGGGTGCTGATCCACTAATTCTCAGCTGTGCCAGCCTCTGCTGAAGTAGAACCAGCTCTGCTTAGGTTGATAGTGCCAGACAAAGGTGCTTTGGATTCAGTCAAGGGCTGCCTAAGTTGCAGCTGGCTTGCATGCATTTTTTTGTCTCTGTTATAGGCTAAAGGGGTAGTTATTAAGTTCTGTTTCCCTTTTAGCCTACCCAGTCCACGGGCTAGTGTAGACTCAGATGGGAATGGTCTGGAATCTCTCCTTGGTTATACAGAACCCTGTGTAGCCTCTCATCAGACAGGGCTGGAACGACAGTGTTTTTTGTCCATTGGGCTGCGCCACACAATTGTATTTTGGGGGGTGGGATGTGGGGGAGGTGGATTGTTACTGCTCTGTGTGACAGAACTGTGGTCAAGGACAGAGGATAGGATTTTCAGCTGATCTCCTCTATTCTTGCAAAGCGCCCTCGCGTGCTACAGACTACCAGGCGGGCTCTGGCCAGCACTCCTCAGATTCCCGTCATCCTAGGAAGGGACAATGCAAAATCTACCCCAGAACTCTATAGGTTGCTATAGGATGAGTACCTTGGTGTAGATAGCAGATCTATGAAAGAGAAAAGTTAAAGTAATTCTTTATCTTTTGTTATCTCTGTCACCACTGGGCATTGGTAGCCTAGGGGTTTGCAACACTTTCTGTGAAAGTCCAAATAGTAAATATTGCAGGCTTTATAGGCAGTACAGTCTCTTGCAACTGCTACTCAACTCTGCCATTGTAATGTGTTCCCCTAAAACTATTTACAAAAACAGGTGAGACAGATCTCTGTATGGACTGCCTTTGCTTGCTGATGTTCTTGTACAATTTTAATTAACCCTTATGACAGCCCCTGATAGAGAGCTACCCTCATCGTTGAAATGGAAGTAATCAAATGCAGAAAAGCTAAGAGACTTGACCAAAACTACAAGAGTTCATAGTCCAGCCTGGTGATCCCTACTGTCTTCTTTCCACTATGATACCAATGATATAATAATGGTCATTAAATCAAGGGCTTATTATCTTCAGGTGTTATGCCACCTGGTTTACCCTTAGGATAACCCTGCAGGCCCCACTTTAAGGTGATGGCATGAAAATACAAAAGTTATTTGCCCAAGGACACAGCTAGCAGGTAATAACATTGTAGTACTTCGACTACTGGTGCCATTCAAGATATCAGAAATAGATTAAATTTACAGTTGGAAAGTCTTCATTTTACATATAATAAAAATTGATGTCTTATTATATTTTTGTTACTGTTTATCTTGTATTTCCCAGGCTTGGGGGCCATGTCTTGGTTAAAAGCTTAGAAGCTCCCTCTTCTTTTAGCTCTTGTCCTTGTTTTCTGTTGCCCTTAAACTTCTGGTACTTCCTTCTCCCACTGAGGTCCCACACCCAATTGCTAATGTTCATTGTCCATAGTCATAGGGTTTTCAATTTTACCTCTTTGCTTCTTCTGCAGTGTCACAATGTCTGACCGTAAGGCAGTGATCAAGAACGCAGACATGTCTGAGGACATGCAACAGGATGCTGTTGACTGCGCCACGCAGGCTATGGAGAAGTACAACATAGAGAAGGACATTGCTGCCTATATCAAGAAGGTGCACTGGGAGAGCTGTGGCTAGTGGCCAGGGGTGGGGATAGGCAGCTGAGCTGTACCCCAGGGAAGGCTGGAGCTGGGGACATAGGAAACTAGCTATACCCTGCACAACAAGACCCTAGGAATTTGCAAAGCAGACAAATTAGGGAGTGATTATTAATTGACAAAGAATTTACCTTAGGCATTCCCAATAGTAACGCCGCTGGTTTGTGTGCATGTATGTGTTTACAGATAATTGTGTCACTGCAAGAGATTGGGAAGAGAAGCTTGAGGATTAAATATAACTGGCCCAATTCGGAACTATTCAAAATGAACATTAAGGATATTTGAATAAATAATATAATATCATACAAATTTTCAGGGAACTTCATCATTTAAAGTGGTATACCTCTGTGATAATCCTCATTATGTAGGAGGTTTCTTTGTGTTGCTCTCAAAAAGGACTCTGGGGGGAAAAACATGTAAAAATAAACAATAAAAAGGACTCAGGTGTTGTATCTTGCCCTTCTCCCCTACCTTCTTAAGAAAAGGGTGAGCCTGAATATATAATTTTTTTTAAATGGATGAGCAATATTAGAGCAATGGGTTTAGTCCCTGAAAAATTCCTGGGTGAATGGATATGGTAAACATGGTGAGGAATCAGCTCACCTAGAAGGGAGAAGTGGTACATGGGGCCCCTGATTGTGAGTCAGGGTCCATGTCCATCGGTAGCATAGTCCTAGTCTTAAATATTCTCAGCTCTGGCATCCCAAGAAGGATGCCTAAGTAGTGGCATTCTGGTCTGTAGAGGTGGTGGGGTGTTCTTGAGTTAACAGACCTCTGCTTGTCTACCCAGATGGGTGGGAAGAGAAGAGGGAACTCTGGAGTCCTGCAAGATTGAGTATAGAGCCAAGGAGTGCAGAGCCAGCAAGACTCCTGGGCATGCCAGCTCCTTGCTGAGTGATTGCCTTGCTGTCCTATCTAGGGAGAGAATCCAGAATCATGGACTCCCAGAGCCAGAAGAATTCCTAGATTATATGTGGTCCAGCTTTCTTCTTTTGCTGGTGGGTCAAATGAGACCTAGGGAAGTGACTATGGCTCTCCTCTGTTATGGAGTCATGTCAGGATTAAAGCTGGGTTTGGTGATACGTGCCACTGTTCCTTAATACCTCTTGGAGTCACTTGCTGTGGGAGTTGAGGAGGCCAAACAAGTTGTATGTTGAGCCACAGTGTAGGCAGGCAGCATTGCTGTGCCTGCAGTGGTATATTGCCCTTTCATAGCTATGGCAGGATGCATCCAGAGCTGAGCCATTGGTTTCCTACTGCATCTACAAGGTGATAGGGAACTGCCTGTTGGATTAGGTCACAAGGATTTCCTAGGTGGCTTTGATGCTGAACTTTTGAGCCAGGGAGAGAAGAGGGAATTGCCTTGGTCTCATGTCTAAGGTCCTTGTTCTAGTGCTTACAGTCCACACATTGTCTGGCACACAAGAATGCTTTTAATAATGACTTAAACAGAACTGCTTTCTGGTACTCCTGATACTTGGTTCCTGTTTTGCTCTAGTGTCTTGGTTTTTGACATTTAGAAATACTGGTTTAGTAATGTGGAAGGCCCCTCTGCTCTTACTCATGCTGTGTTACACTGGAGTGGTTGTTTGTGCCACTGGCTTCTCTGATTCCTCTGCTGAAGAGTCACAGGGTGGGCTGTTGAATAGGGTAGCTAGAGGGAGGAGAGATGATCAGGGTGTAAAGTGCCTGAGAGAAATAGTGGAGCCTTTGTGGTGTTAAATTATTAACGAGGGAAGAAGTGTTCTAGCCAGCCTTAGAACCTGAGCTCCTGAGGTTTGGGGAGCTGAGGCCATGGGTTGGGGGTGATAACTAAAGTGATCAGACTCCCATTCTGATTTCTCATTCTGTAGCTGTCCTAATCACCTTTCTTCTCTCCCTTTTATTTTTCTTTTAGGAATTTGACAAGAAATACAACCCTACCTGGCATTGTATCGTGGGCCGAAATTTTGGCAGCTACGTTACACACGAGACAAAGCACTTCATCTATTTTTACTTGGGTCAAGTTGCAATCCTCCTCTTCAAGTCAGGCTAGGTGGCTGCAGGGAAGGTGTCAGTGGCGGCGGTAGCGATGGCAAGCAGACGACGTTGCTGGGACTATTTTGCACTGGGGCCAGCATCAGGATGTCCTCACCAATGGCTGTGCTACTGCATGGACTGTATACTCGATTTCATGTGTATGTCGCAGTAAACAAAACCAAACTTCTTTCTGTTTAGTTGCCTGGGGAAGAAGGCTGCTTTACATTTATTTTTCAAGACTTAAAAAATTTTTTTTGGTTGTATTGCACTAGGAAATCTCTCCCACCCCTTCCTTTTCTCTTTCTCTCTCTATAAAATAAGCCCTAAAAAAAACACACACAAAAAAACCCCCCAGTAAGACCAGGAGGGCTCAGGGGAAAAAAATGGTTTCTGGAGGTGGAACTAAAACTGTGCAGCTGCCTCTTCCTGCTTTGGGAGGGCCATGAAGGCTGCTGGGGGCGGGGGGTGGGGGGGACAATGTTAGGATCAACAAGAAGAGAGGGATAGGAAGGAAGGCAGGGGGATTGATCTAGTACCAGGGAGACTATTCCACTGAACTGTGATTCCAGGGCTTGGGGCAGAGGGTGGGGTTGGAGGGGTGGATTCTTTAAGGGGCCCTGAGATGTGTTTGTCTGTGGTGTGTGGGAGTGGGGAGCAGATTTGTCTTGCTGTCTTTGTCAGAAGAGTTTCTAAGTAAGGGCTGTGTCTTTGTGGATTATCTTTTATTCCTGCCAGAGCTCATGCTAGGAGGATGTTGGAGGTAGGGTTAGCTTGCTTTATTTTTTCTTTTTATTCTTTCTTCTCTACTTCTGTCTGCTCCCTGCTTAGTCCTCAGTTTTCTCATTCCTCTGGAGTTCTCTTAGAGCAGCCCCTGTTAGTTGGCTGACAAGGGAATATCTGGTGACCGTAGTTCCTTAGTTAGGTCTTAGCAATCAAACCAAATCAGTGTCTCCCTGATTGTTCTCTGTGTATGTGTGTGTGTGTATGTGTGTGTCTTGGTTGGGGTGGAGGGGAGGGAGGGGCAGGATGGTATGGAATCTCTAGGATATATGGGTAGATGGTATATGGGTGCACAATTAATTCTAAATGGGCCTTTATGTTAAAAAACATCAGTGGGTGAAGACAGGTGTCGCCCCCTTCAGTCATCTTGCCCGGACACTCTGCTTGTCCTGTGGATGTCTACTCCCAGGAAGGTTTTTGGAGAATAGCCCACAATGAGATGGCCATGGTGCCATCTGCTCTGGAGTTGGCTCTCAGTGGAGCGGGAAAGTGACTTTGTGGATGGTAAGGATGGAAGTGATGAGGGGCTTGGGAGGAAGTCTGCAGGGATGAGGAGATGCAGCAGGGCCACTAGTGGGAGGAGATTCCAAGGAGAGTGCTGGGCAAATCTTGTCTGTTGATCAAATAGAGATGGGGCAGTGGTGTAGGGGTGGATGGAGTCGTTGATTGAGCTGTTGATTCCTGTAAATTGCATTTAAATAAAACTTATGTATGGCTGACACTGGGTCGGGGGGAGGGTTGGGATCTAGCTCATTCTTTTTTTCAACTCCATCTTTGGGGAGGCAGGAAAATGTCTCCACCCCAAGCCTTTAGTGTGTGCCGAGCTTTCTTTCTGATGCTGACAGGAGGGTGGGGACTGGGATGATGAGTGAGTTCCCTGTATTAAACCCTTTTATGAATGTCCCAAATCTGTGTTTCCCTTGCCCTCCCAGACTTGCGTGGCCAGTCGGAAATGTCTGGTTTGTGTTTGTCTCTCCCTCATTTCTGGAGCTGGGGCTGAGACCCCGCCACATCTCCTGTGCTCTGCATCCATGCCTCTTTTGGACATTAAAGGTTGATTGATGCACTTCTGAGCTGTTTTGAGTTTCTTTGGGGCTAAAGGGTTTGGTCAGGTGATGGTGGTACCGCACATGGATGGGGTGGTGGGTACCTAAAGTGGAGTAGAATGGGTCCTGAAGAGAGAAGACCAGGCAGAGAGACACTGATTGGCCTGAGTCAGGTTTTAATTGGGTTTATGGTTGGGCCCCTAGATGGCAACACTTACCCACAAGGTTTCTTGGGTCCTTGGGTAGAGATGGCCAGGTGAACCACATTTTGGGTCTTCAATATAATAAATATTGCCTTCCCACTTTGCAGGTCTAGTTTCTAGGTTCAGGATGGCAGTTGGCAGCTGCTGTACTGGACCTACAGGAGCTGGCTTAGACCCTTTGGCCAAAGCTCCTAGCCCTCATACTCATTTGAAGCTTCCCTGAGACCTGGAGACTACTAGCTAAGTCCTGCTGTAGCCACTCAAAAATGAAAAAGCTGGGGGCCTTCAGAAAGATGGAAATTCTTGGTGGAATCTAGTGCTGCTTTGACTCCTGTGTTACCTTGATTGTCCCACTTGGGGGCTCCTGCCCCAACACACCCGGAGAGGTCGGCAGTCCTGAGGCACTGCTGAGAGTGTCTTCCCATCCCTGAGCCTAAGCTCTTGGTGTCTGGGTTTATGGCCACATCTTTGTGGAGTGTTAAAAGAGCAGAGGTACTTCGTACTCGTTTCTGTTGTCAGTTACTCAAACACTTTACTGAGTTTTCATGTACTTGGGCCTAGGATGCTGTTCACACAAGTGAATAAGATAGGCAAGTTCTGTGCTTCCATGGCATGCATGTTGTAATGGGCAGAGCAGACATATACATTGATAAACTTTTTCCAATAGTGATAACTGTACTATCAAGGAAATAAACTTTCCTTGACAATGAGCTTTTGATTTTTTGGAAGTAGGTCTGCAGAGCTCCTTCACACAGGAAGTTGGTGAGCTGGATCCTGGGGAGAAGTCTCTTTCTGGGGCATCAAGGTCCTAAGGGAGGAAGACCAGGGGCTCTAGAACCCCAACTTCTGTTCCTATGAGTGATCTGGGTGTGAGTGATTTGTCAGAGCCAGAGCCTTAGAGGAGAGTGAGGCCACAATTTGTGACAGGTTTTTCTGGGGCTAAAACATCCTTAACCTGCCCAAATGGGAGAGGCAATCCAGGTCGTATCTCTGGACAATACATTCCTGTGTAAGTAGTGCGTGGTGCTCATCTGGAAGGCTAATTTTGCAAGGCTTGCTGGAGAAGACGACTCCTGATGTTGTGGGGCCCAGGATGGGTGGGTCGGGAGCATGAGTTACAGAGGGGCTGTGGAAGGCAGGTAGGAATTGTGGCATAGGGGAATGTAGCCACCGCCAGAGCTGGCCAGACGGAGTGGGAGTGTCAATGTGCCACCTCTCTTAGCGTGTTGTCCAATCTTCTGGGGGATCCTTTTGGCTGAACCTAACTGAAAGGTAGATGGCAAGGCTGACTCAGGGATGCAGGCTGTAGGAGTCAGCTCCCCTACCACTTGGGAACAGCAGGAAAGAAAAAGGTAGAGAATGAATCTAAGGGGGGCCAACCATACCAGCTTGGTAGGGAATTGTCTCTGTCGCTGTGGGCAACATGCCTGTCCTCTTTCTAGAACTCTAGTGTCCTCCAGCCCAGACCTAAGGTGTTGCTGTCCCCTAAACTATCCCCTTTCTTCCTTCAGGTCTTTGCTCAATCATCCTCTTTATCAGAGGGCCCTGCTGACATTCTATATGAAATAGCATCTCTCACCATCGCTATTAACTTTACCCAGTTTACTCAGCACAGTACCTGCCAAAGCTTGACATATTTGTTGGTTTATTTGTTGGTCTCCCACAACTAGAATATAAACCATTTTCCTTTTACTGCTTTATCTTCAAGCACACTGAACAGCACCTGTCCTGTAGGATATACTTGATAAATGTCGATTGTTCAAATGAAAATAAGAGTGGAAGCCAGCATGGAGGCTTGCCTCAGGGAAGCATGGCCTTTCCTGAAGAGACTTCTGCCTTTGGCCTCCCTCTCCCTTGCCGCCCCAAGCCCTGTGTATTTCCTGCTGCCTGCAAAGGAGTGAGTGGGCCCCTCCCCAGTATGCGCAAGCCTCAGCCCTACTTGCCACTATGGGAGAATGAAAGAGTGTTCCTAAAGTACATTTTATTTTTAAAGCATTTCAGTTGGTTTATGTCTCTGAAACCTCTAAGCATCTCTTTGAGCGAGACCCAGCAGTCATTAGCCAGGTTTTTGGATAAACAGAGGGTGAGCAACTTGCAAAAGCCTATGTAGATGGGAGCACTGCTGGAGCCAGGCGCTGTGCTGGGTTTGACAGCACTGGGTCTCACTGACGCTCCCTGAGATTTAGGCCCAGCTCTGAGCTTACGAGTGAATCCCTGGTTTCACTGATATTCCCTTTCCTGGGCTCTGCTGCAGCAAGGGCAAGGATGATTCCCTGTCCCTCCCTCCGTCCCTTCTCACGCCTCCCATCTCCTAAGGACTGAGGAGCTGCCCCTTCCTCCTTTAGGCCTCATGACGAGTAAGGAGTCATCTGGACTTAGGAGGGAGAGCAGACTACCAGAGCTTTGACCTCTTAGGCTTCCCCATAACTAAAGGTACAGCCTGCTAACCATTCTGGTAACAAGGAGTGACATCACCTGTTGAGGAGGTCAAGTGTACCTATATGTATATCTTTGGGATACAATGGGCTCAGTGTCCACGCCAATGTACATGCATACTCCTGTGCACGGACTGCTGCTGTGCCAATATTGAGAGGTTCAGAAGAAGATCGAAGCCCCAAGTCTCTATGCCTCGCCTTCCTTTTTTTGTCAAAACAGGTTTATACTGGTGACGCTGCTGGACATTCCTGTCTTGGGCTTTTAAAAAAGAGGCTAACCATGCAAAAACAGCGCGGTGGTGTGGGTAGAACACAGGGTATAGAATCAGAAAACCTGGGGTTGAGTTCCAGCTCCAACACCCACTGTATAAATTTAGACAAGTCATTTGACTTCTTTGAGGCTCAATTATTTGTAAAATGGGGTTAATACCTATCTACCCTAAACAGTGGTTATAAGGATCAAATGAAATCATGTGTGTGAAAGAGCTTTGAAATTGAAAAATGATGATGAAGACACTGAAAGAATAATTCTGGGAAGTCAGGTTGCCTCAATTACCCCATTTCATAAAGGAGGAAATGAAGGACCAGACAGGGAAAGAAACGTACTTAAGGTCACATGGAGGTTTGGGGCAATTGAGATGTAGGACTTAGTCTCTTGACTCTCAGACCAGGTCTGATCCTGGTTTGAGGAGATGGAGAGGACTGATTCGTGACGAGGTGCTGAGCCCCTGCTGAACTGTGGGATGCCCTACACTCGGCGGTGGTGTACAGTGCAGTGGTTTTCAGTGTATTCAGAGAGTTGTGCAACCATCAGCACTATCTAATTCCAGAACGTTTTCACTCCCAAAGGAAACCTTGTACTCATTTGCAATCAGTCTCCATTCCTCCTTTTCCCTAGCACCTGGAAACCACTAATCTACTCTGTCTCTATGAATTTGCCTACTCCGGGCATTTCATATAAATGGAATTATACAATATGTGGTCTTTTGTGCTTGACTCCTTTCATTTAGCATAATGTTTTCAAGGTTCGTCTGTGTTGTGGCATTTATCAGTACTTCATTCCGTTTTTCGGCCAACTAATTAATATTCCATTATACATCACATTTTGTTTATTCATCGAGTGACATTTGGGTTGGGTTGTTTACACCTTTTAGCTATTGTGAATAGTTAAACATACATCCACACAAAAACTTATACGTGAACATTCATGTATAAGTTTTTGTGTGGTCATATATTTTCAATTCTTGGGTCATTATTTTGAGTCATTTTCTATTTTTTAAAACCTGGATTGAAATGGGTAATTTTTTTCTGAAAAAGGTCAAATAGTAAACATTTTAGTCTTTGTGGACCATATGACAGCAACTACTGAACTGCAATTGTAGCATGAGAGCAGCCATAGACATTATGTAAAAAAATGACTATGAGTATGTTCCAGTAAAATTTTAAGCAGGCAGTGGGCCATAATTGGACTATGGCCTATAGTTTGTCAACCCCTGATCTAGATGATGTAGTCACATAATTCAAAATTCCACAAATGCAAAAAGTGAAAGTCCGCCCTCCTACTCCTGTCCTCCCGCCACAAGTTTCCCCTTCTTAAAAACAATTCCTGTTATGAAATTTTGTGCCTCCTTTCAGAAAGAGTTGATAAGAGCATATTTTTAAGTGGCTGTGTAATGTTCCAATGTGTTGTAGACAGATTAATAAACGTGAAAGGACTAACATATCTGAAGGCGTGCCCTGAAAGACAGAACACTATTCTAGCAGGGTTGCCCTGACCTGCTCTATTGACTCCTCTATCAGAATGATCTTTTGAACTCATGGGATTTTCTCAGGAATTTTGGGGACTATGTCTAATGAATATGTTGGTTGATACCTTTTCGATCAAAAACAAGCTCTCTCAAGAAACACAAGATTTTCTCAGGTAGTTTTTGTACTAGTTGGAGTTCCACTAGAGAAACAAACACAACCGGTAGGATATCTTTCCTTCCTTCCTTCCTTCCTTCCTTCCTTCCTTCCTTCCTTCCTTCCTTCCTTCCTTCCTTCCTTCCTTCCTTCCTATCATCTTCTCTCTATCATCCATCCATCCATTCATCCATCTATATTTATAGCAAGAAATTGGCTTACATGATTGTGAGGCTCTGCAGGCAAGTCTGGAATCTGTACTTCAGGCTGTAAAGGTCAGGCTGGAAACTCTTAGGCAGGAGCTGACACTGCAGTCCAAACATGGAATTTCTTCTTCAGGGAAGCCTCAGGCCTTTCAGTAAGCTGGATCAGGTCCATCCATGTTATCCAGGAAAATCTCCTTTACATAAAGTTAACTCATTGTAGATGTTAATCATATCTACAAAATACCTTGACAGCAACATCTAGATTAGTGTTTGATTAAATATC